ATACTGCCCCCTTAAGTTAAAGCTATAAATAGAATTTCGCGTTGCGTATTTTGAGGAAGAAGGCACAACTTTTTGGTATGTAGGTAGTCCCCAATTTACAACAGTTCATTTAGTGACCGTTCGAAGGGACAACAGCAGCGAAAAAAGTGACTTATGACTGTTTTTCACACTTTGTGACTGTTGTAGCATCCCCGTGGCCACGTGATCAAAACTCAGATGCTTGGCAACTGACTCGTATTTATGACGGTTGCAGTGTCCAGGGGTCATGTGATCACTTTTGTGACATTCTGACAAGCAAATTCAATAGGGGAAGCCAGTTTCACTGAACAAAGGTGTTACTAACTTCCCAACTAAAGTGATTCACTTAACAACTGAGGGAAGAAAAGTCATAGAATGGAGCAAAACAAATGTTTCACTTAACAACAGAAATTTTGGGCTCAGTTGTGGCCGTAAGTCGAGGGCTACTTGTATTTTAGCCTGTGTTCACTAAAGCTTGTCCTTTGAATAAAATTTGTTACTTGAAAAGGAGCTTAGCCAACCAGTTGACAACTCTTCAAGTTGTTACGGTTGAGAAGAAAGAGAATGTCAAGTTGGAAGGAGCCTTTGAGAATCAGAATCAGAGTAGGCCCCTTGGAGGTCTTCCAGTCCAGCCCCCTGTTCAAGCAGGAGACCCTATACCAGGAGTAGGCAGCCTTGGCTCTTTTATGACTCATGGACTTCAACTCCCAGAATTCCTGAGCCAGCATGGGGGCACTATGGCCCCTTCATGACTTGAGGACTTCAACTCCCAGAATTCCTGAGCCAGCATGGGGAAAACTTTGGCCCCTTCATGACTTGTGGACTTCAACTCCCAGAATTCCTGAGCCAGCATGGGGGCACTATGGCCCCTTCATGAGTTGAGGACTTCAACTCCCAGAATTCCTGAGCCAGCATGAGGGAACTAAAGCCCTTCATGACTCGTGGACATCAACTCCCAGAATTCCTGAGCCAACATGGGGAAACTATGATCCCTTCATGACCCGTGCACTTCAACTCCCAGAATTCCTGAGCCAACATGGGGGAACTATGACCCCTTCATGACTCGTGGACTTCAACTCCCAGAATTCCTGAGCCAGACATGCTGGCTCAGGAATTCTGGGAGTTGAAGTCCATGAGTCATAAAAGAGCCAAGGTTGCCTACCCCTGCCCTATACCATTTCAGACAAGTGGATGTCCAGTCTCTTCTTAAAAGCCTCCAGTGATGGAGCGCCCACAATTTCTGGAGGCAAACTGTTCCACTGGTTATTTGTTCTCACTGTTATATGCCATAAAAGTGTATTTGTGGGTCTGTCTCTTCCTGATTTTTACTCATCCCATTCATTCTGTTAGGAGAGACGTAATAAGGATGCCGTCAATTTTGTTGTTGTTCAGTCACTAAGCTGTCTCCAACACCTGGCGAACCCATGGACCACAGCACACCAGGCCTCCCTGTCTTCCACTGTCTCCTGGAGTTTGCCCAAATTCATGTTCCTTGCAGCCACGACCTTATCTAACCATCTCTTCCTCTGCCGTCCCCTTCTCCTTTCGCCTCCCATCTTTCCCAACATCGGGGTCTTCTCCAAGGAGTCCTCACTTCTCATTTGGTGGCCAGTCTTTGAGCTTCAGGATCTGTCCTTCTAAAGCAGTGGTTCTCAACCTGTGGGTCGGGACCCCATTTGGGGTCGAACAACCATTTCATGGGGGTTGCCATACAATGCAGTCTGCCATTTTTCCCCCCTTTTCCTTAGCTGTGCTACTCCCTTTTATTCTATTGGCTTTTGAAAGCCAACAGAATAGACTCTCTCGAATAGAGTCTAATTCTATTGGCTTTCAAAAGCCAATAGGAATTGTCCAGGCTGTCTCTGCCCTGCTGAGCCCACCAAAAGTCCCATTCTGCAAACAGTGCTGCACCAGTTGAGTAGTCCTTGACTTACGACCGGTTGAGTAGTCCTCGACTTACGACCGGTTGGGGGTCGCGGCATTAAAAAGGTTGAGAACCACTGTTCTAAAGGACAGTCAGGATTGATTTCCATTAGGGTTGACTGACTGGATTTCCTTGCAGTCCAAGGGTCTTCTCCGGCACCATTTTGAAAGCAGCTGAGCACCAAAGTTACAATGACGTTGAAAAAAAACTAATGACCCACTTTTGTGCTTACAACCGTCACAACAACCCTGTGGTCGCATGATCAAAATTTGGGCACTTGGCAACTTGCATGTATGTATTTAGGATGCAGCATCCCAGGGTCACGTGATCACTATTTGTGACCTTCTCAGGGGGCTTTCAACAAGCCAAATCAATGGAGAAGCTGGATTGGCTTAATGAACATGATTCACTTAACGACGTGGCAAAAAAGGTCATAAAATCAGGTCTGACTCAATTAATGACCTCATTGCTGAGACTGAGGTTCTGGTCCCACCTGTGGTCATAAGGCAAGGATTCTCTGTGAGTTAAGACCATTGTTGTATAACTTATTGTGTGGGATGGAAAAACATAGGGGACAGCCTTCCGACTGCCATTCAGCTGTATCTGGGGTCTGGGGGTGGGGTGGGGGTCCAAAATGTCAAGAAGGGACCGTACATCAGTGAAAATCCCTCCCCGTTTTAAAGTGCTTTTCAGGCACTTGAAAAATTTATCTCTTCTTTCAATCTCCGATCCTCTTTTTTCATTCCCAGTTGCTCAGGTCTCTTCACAAGATATATATTTTGGAGGCTCCCAAGTTTATCTGCTTGTTTTTTTTAATTAAGAAGCATTGCCAAATAGATACACTGTTTTTCTACTTTTATTAACAGCAGTATTTTTTTTATTTCTGGATCACAATGTCATTTTTTCACTGTGCAAATCACAGTTCATCTTCTCAAGAAAAATAACTAACCAAAATTTGTATTTGTATTTAATTTTATTTATATGCCGCCCAATCCCAAAGGACTCAGGGCGGCGTACAGAGATTAAAACAATCATAAAACAATAAAATAATACAGTCATACCGCGAGTCCGATCATATCCCGCCCCCCCCCCGGGGACATCAGCCCCAGGCCTGCCGGAACAGGAGAGTTTTAACGGCTTTCTTAAAGGCCGGCAGGGTGGGAGTAGTTTGAACCTCAGGGGGAAGTTGATTCCACCAGGTCGGAGCCACCACAGAAAAGGCCCTTCCCCGAGGGCCCACCAGCCGACATGTCTGGCCGACGGGACCTGAAGGAGGCCCAATCTATGGGACCTCACCGGTCTCTGGGAACTGTGTGGCAGTATGCGGTCCTGTAAGTAACCTGGCCCTATGCCATGAAGGGCTTTAAAGGTGATAACCAACACCTTGAATTGCGTCTGGAGACCCACAGGAAGCCAGTGCAGCTCGCGGAGGATAGGTGACACGTGGGCGTACCTTGGCACGCCCACAATCGCTCTCGCGGCTGCGTTCTGAACCAACTGCAGCCTCCGAACGCCCTTCAAGGGTAGCCCCATGTAGAGCGCGTTACAGTAATCCAGTCTTGAGGTGACAAGTGCATGAGTGACTGTGAGTAAAGCCTCCCGGTCCAAATAAGGCCGCAACTGGTGCACTAGGCGAACCTGTGCAAAGGTCCCCCTGGCCACAGCCGATAGATGTTGTTCCAGATTTAGCTGTGAGTCCAGGAGGACACCCAAGCTGCATGCCTGCACTGAAGGAGGTAAATTTGCCCCCCCCCCAGGATTAATGATGGACCATCCAGTTGGCCTTTGGGAGGCAAGACCCAGAGCCACTCGGTCTTGTCAGGGTTGAGTCTAAGCCTGTTCACCCCCATCCAGACCCTCACATCTTCCAGGCACCGGCACATCACGTCGACTGCTTCACATAAAGATATCTACCCATCCATCCATCCATCCATCCATCTACCCATTCACCCATCCACCCATCCATCCACCAATCCATCCATTCATCTACCCATCCATCCACCAATCCATCCATCCACCCATCCATCTACCCACCCATCCATTCATCTACCCACCCATCCATCCACCAATCCATCCATCCATCTACCCATTCATTCAACCATCCACCAATCCATCCATCCATCTACCCATCCATCCATCCACTAATCCATCCATCCATCTACCTATCCATCTACCCATTCATTAATCCATCCATCTACCCATCCACCCATCCATCCACCAATCCATCCATTCATCTACCCATCCATCTACCCATCCACCCATCCATCCACCAATCCATCCACCCACCCATCCATCCACCCATCCATCCACCAATCCATCCATCCATCTACCCATTCATTCAACCATCCACCAATCCATCCATCTACCCATCCATCCATCCATCTACCCATTCATTAATCCATCCATCTACCCATCCACCCATCCATCCATCCACCCATCCATTCGTTTCATACAATAACCTGGGATCTGTACAGCCTTACAGAAAAAGTGTGCATATCCTCAAAAATGTTGAACAGAAATGACACAAATTTGTGCCACCAGTGATACTAATCACTCCTGGATTTGTTCTTGACTCAAGATGCTTCAAAACTTTGGCCAAAATTTTAAATAGCTAAAATTTGCAACCGACACGGCTCTCTCAAAAACCAACTAAAGGTTTATTGGAGATTTAACAAAGTTTGCTTGGATTATTTCTTAAGTGCTTGTTCCCTTATTATTTCCCCCTCAAAATGATTCAAATGAAGGTTTTAATAAAGAGAGATAATCAACCTAAGAATGCATAAATATTTACCATGACAAGCCTCAATTTAAAAAGCATAAGGGCATTTAAGTCTTTTCTTATGACTTCCGACTGTTTTTCACACTTATGACCATTGACTGCAGCGTCCCCATGGTCGTGTGATCAAAATTCAGATGTTTGACAACTGACTCCTATTTATGACGGTTGCAGTGTCCCGGGATCATGTGATCCCCTTTTGTGACCATCTGACAAGCAAAGTCAATGAGGAAGCCAGGTTAACTTAACAACCGTGTAACTAAGTTAGCAATTGCAGTGATTTCACTTAACAACTGTGGCAAGAAAGGTTGTAAAATGGGGCAAAGTTCATGTAACAAATGTTCCGCTCAACAACAAAAATGTTGGGCTCAAATATGGCTGTATGTTGAGGACTATCTGTAGTAATTTCAACTATCACTGGTGTTAAACCTGGTCAGAACCAAAATGTCTGACTTGCAGGGGATGATCTACACCAGGGAACTTCAAGCCTGGCAACTTTAAAACTTGTGGACTTCAACTCCCAGAATTCCTCAGCCAGCCCTGAGGGCTGGCTGAGGAATTCTGGGAATTGCAGTCCACAAGTCTTAAAGTTGCCAAGTTTGAAGACCTCTGATCTACATACTCCCTATCTTCTAGCTGAGCAACTACTAGCATGGTAGCTCAGCACAAGTGGCCACAGGCCCATCTTGTTTAGCACCATCCTGGCAACCAAACAACACACAAAAACAACAGTCTTCTGCTCTAATAGTGCTTCCTGTTGACTGGATTTCAAAGTAAACAGCCCAGATCAAGAGCAGGATCCGTACAAGTGGAATGCCTTCCAGCCAGTGGCAAGGGACAACGTAATTATTGTCTCAAGTATTTTGAGGACAAATGTTCCTTCACAAATTTGTCTATTCTTTCTTTAAAGTCAGAAGGCTATCAGCTACCCTACCACCTGTTTTTCCCTTGAGTTCCTTAAATTAAGACAATATGGAGTCCAGCTCCCCGTATGAAGACAGCTAAGCAAGTGGGGCAGGAGAAAGGCGAAAGGGGTTGAGGAATAGAAGCATTCCCAGTTGTGGCTCCTACACAGTGGTGGGAATCAGCCAGTTCGCACCACTTCAGCAGAACCGGTAGCTATATTTTTTGTTGCCCAGGCCCAGAATGGACATCCGAAAGTGGCATCCAAACAGAGAACCGGTGATTCACTTACTTGAATCCCTACCACTAGTGCTACAGCTCAATCCTCTCGGCTTCCTGTAATGAGATACATGGATGGGATGTCACCAAGCGAAGCTGAGCCGTGGAGGATCCAGCTTCCCTCAAACAAACACTGGGATTAAAAATTGGGAGAAGGTAGAGAAGGCCCAGGAAGCGAGATGAAGAAGTGACAATCCAGAAAGGAGATGGTAACTAGAAGAAAGTATTTGCTACCAAAAAAAAACAACACCAAAAAATCCAACTATAATCCAGTTACTTTGGGCACTTTTTAACCCTCTTTTGCTTCTGTAACCACAACTTCATGTAGTGGACTTCCAAGAGGCGAGCCTGCAGGACGGAGATGGGATCCGAGGGGTTGTTGGCGCGCAGATCCAGATGGTGAGCTCCTTCCGGGATCACGATTGTAACTAGAGTGTCCGTGATATTCTTTGTCACGCCACCGCCGGACCAAGGATCGAGTCCTCCGTTGCTGGCAGAGAATGGAGAAGACAGGCATAAACGATACGCTTGAACGTTAAAAGGGGAATGCAGGGAAGCAATAACAGCACGACAATACCATCCCAGGTCGGAGGGCATCTTTCTTCTCAATTATGACATCAACACTCAAGAATCCAAAGACAGGACCTGATTATTTTTCTTATATCCCACCTTTGGTTATAGTTATACATTACTGAAGTGGTTGAACGTGCTTAATCCTCTTCTCTCCTCTGATTTTCCCCACAACAAGCCATCCTATGAGGTGGGCCAGGCTGGGACAGAGTGACTGGCCTAAAGTCACCCAGCGGGTTTTCGTGCCTAAGACAGAACTAGAACTTACAATCTCCTGGTGATTGGCCTAAAGCCAACCAGCCAGCCTCCATGCCTAAGGCAGGACTAGAACTCACCATCTCCTGGCAATTGGCCCAATGTCACCAAACAGGCCTTCACGTCTACGGCAGGACTAGAACTCACAATCTCCTGGTTTCTAGCCTGGTGCCTTCATCACTAGACTCTCTAACTTTCCCCTCTTCCTATTTTCCCCACAACATCCAGCCTGTGAAATGAGCTGAAGTAGGATTGGCCCAAAGTCTGGCTTTCATGGCTAAGGCAGGACTAGAACTCACAATCTCCTGGTTTTTAGCCTGGTGCTTCATCACTAGTTTGAAAAGTCGCTAAAGGAATGGCTGTAAGTCAAGGACTACTACTAGGAATTTGAGCTTGGTCACTGGTATGGGAAAACACATCCCCATGCGCCGGGTCTAACATGTCTGGTGGCCCAGTGGTTAGAAGGCAGTATTGCTGGCAAACTCTGCCCACAGCCAGTAGTTCGATCCTCATGGGGCTGAAGGTTGATTCAGCCTTCCATCCTTCCGAGGTCGGTAAAATGAGGACCCAGATCCAGTATTTGAGGGGCTGCCACAAAGAGGGCATAAAACTATTCTCCAAAGCATCAGAGACCAGGACAAGAAACAACGGTTGGAAACTGGTCAAAGAGAGAAGCAACCTGAAATTAAGGAGAAACCTCCTGACAATGAGGACAATTAACTAGTGGAATGGCTTGCCTTCAGAAATCATGGGCGCTCCATCACTGGAGGTTTTTAAGAAGAGACTAGGCATTCCACCTGTCTGAGACTGTATAGGTTCTCCTTCTTCAACAGGGAGCTGGACTAGAAGACCTCCAAGGTCCCTTCCAACTCTATTCTATTCTATTATTGGGTGCAATATGCAAATAATGCTTCTGCATTGTAAACTGCCCAGGGAGTACTGTAAAGCACTGTGGGACAGTACAGTATATAAAACTAAGTGGAACTCTGGTGGCGCAGTGGTTAGAATGCGGTATTGCAGGCTGACTCTACCGACTGCCAGGAGTTCGATCCTGACCGGCTGAAGGTTGACTCGGCGTTCCATCCTTCCAAGGTGGATAAAATGAGGTCCCAGATTGTTGGGGGCAACTATGCTGACTCTGTAAAATTACTTAGAGAGGGCTGTAAAGCACTGTGAAGTAGTATATAAGTCTAAGCGCTACTGCCATGTACAACAGAAACTCACCTGAAAATGATGTTACTATGAGCACTTATGTTTTTCCCACCATAAATAGTGGGAATCCAGTAAGGGCGGGGTCGTACCCCCCAGGTTTTGAAACAATCTTCTGAGTAAGCATGGAAGTCCCATTTCTGTGGCTCAAACATATCATTGATACCATCTGAACACATGGGCATCACCATCTCAGTGCAGGCCTTGGAGATGAGAAAGAGAGGAAAACAGTGGAGATTAATTGTTGAAAGTTTGGGAAAAAAAATCAGAGAAGAGCAACTAAGATGATCAACGGCCTGGAGACTAAAACATACAAAGAACGGCTGCGGGACTTGGGTCTGGCTAGTCTAAAGAAAAGAAGAAATAGGGGAGACATGATAGCAGCGTTCCAGTGTTTGAGGGGCTGCCACAAAGAAGAGGGGGGTCAGGTTGTTCACCAAAGCACCAGAGGGAAGGACGAGAAACAATGGTTGGAAACTGATCAAAGAGAGAAGCAACCTGGAATTAACGAGAAATGTATTGACAGTGAGAACAATTAATCAGTGGAACGACTTGCTTCCAGTCAGGAAGCAACTGGACTTTCTTGTTCTTCTTTGAAGACGTTTCGCTTCTCATCCAAGAAGCTTCCTCAGCTCTGACTGGATGTTGGGGAATGGAAGGATTTATGTTCCTTGAAGCCAGCTGGTCATTTGCCTTCTTTTAGAGCAGTGGTTCTCAACCTTTTTAATGCCGCGACCCCCAACCGGTCGTAAGCCGAGGACTACTCAACCGGTCGTAAGTCGAGGACTACTCAACTGGTGCAGCACTGTTTGCAGAATGGGACTTTTGGCGGGCTCAGCAGCGCAGAGACAGCCTGGACAATTCCTATTGGCTTTTGAAAAAATGGCGGACTGCGTTGTGTGGCGACCCCCGTGAAATGGTCGTTCAACCCCAAATGGGGTCCTGACCCACAGGTTGAGAACCATTGGTTTAGAAAGTCGTTGACGCCACCTGGAGTCACCTGAGCAGTGCAAATGGGTGTGGAATAGGGGTCTTCAAACTTGGCCCTTTTATGATTTGTAGTCCACAAGTCATAAAAGGGCCATGTTTGAAGACCCCTGCTCTAAAAGAAGGCAAATGACCAGCTGTCTGCAAGGAGTATAAATCCTTCCATTCCCCACCATCCAGTCAGAGCTGAGGAAGCTTCTTGGATGAGAAGCGAAACATCTTCAAAGAAAAACAAGGGGTGCCCTTACCTCATGACTGCCATTCGCCCTCCCCCCCAAATCGCCATGGTGATTACGGGGTACACACCCACCTGGTAAGACCAGCCCCGAAGGCCCAGACTTTTAGTAGCAGTCTGAGTTAAGTTCAAGCAGGACGCCTTTCCTGTGTAGTTGTAGTAGATGTTTACAGCCTGGAAGATATTCTGGAGCAACAATCTGTCTGGCAGTTTAGGATTTTTCAGATATTTACAGATAACCTGGAGGAAAAAAAAAAGCAATAGAAAAGCGTTGTGTTGAAGGAAAAGTCTTCATCGTGGTTCAGTCCAAGCCGGGGATAAACAACATGGTGACTGCTTTAGAAAGAAGGTTGCAGTTTATTGAAGAGGAGAGCCAGACAGAAAGATAGCTCTGGAAGAAAAGAGAGAGAGCACATGTAGGGAGTGGGTTTTTATACCTTCTGGAGCTTTTTGTTTGGAGTTGTTCCTGTGGCATGAACTTTGACCTGAGTCTGGTATTCTGATGGTGGTGGGTTAATCCTATTATGTCTCAAAGGTCATATCCTGCTTCCCTGGGGCTGTGGCTGATGACTGTTGGATTTTTTGGTGTGAGGGATTGTTGATTCTAGGGATCTTTGTCTTTCTAATCCCAGCTTCCTGACTCCAATCTTTCTGACAAGATTATCACATCTGCATTTCTGCAGACCTGGTTTCTGTTTGGGGCAGAGAGACTTGCAGCCTTGGTTTCTGCTTTTAAAATCTTTTAGGGAAATATATTTTGCCTTTTAAATATTTCCAAAAATATTCCTTTCTCGGGGGGGGGGCTGACTTCCCACAGTTGAGAGTCCCCAAAATAGCAGAGCGTTACACAATCCACAATTCCGCACAGGGAAGCTTATTCTTAACACATCTGCAAAGCACAGGTCGTCCTCAATTTACGACCACAATTGAGCCCAACATTTCTGTTGCTAAGCGAGACGTTTGTTTAAGTGAGTTTTGCCTCGGTCTACGACCTTCCTTGCCACAATTGTTAAGTGAATTGCTGCAGTTATTAAATCAGGACCATGGGTCGTTAAGTGGATCTGGCTTTTTGCTTTTTGTCAGATCACAAAAGGGGTTCACATGAGTCCGAGACATGCGACGGTCATAAATGTGAGTTAGTTGCCAAGCCTCTGAATTTTTTTTAATAAAGATTTTATTGTTTTTTTTTCATAAACATATGTTAATTTTTTCAATCAACAAGTTGTCTGGAGTTTGCTGTGCTAATACATGTTCAATTCCTAATCCTTCATTCTTTCCTCTAGCCAACAATAAAATAGAAAGCCTCTGAATTTTGGTCACGGGACCACAGGGATGCTGCAACGGACGTTAAGTGTAAAAGACGGTCCTAGGTTACTTTTTTCGGTTCTGTTGTAACTTCGAACAGTCACTAAATGAAGTGCTATAAGTCAGGGACTGAATCCTGACTTACAAGAGATATACAAGAAGTCCTTGTTTTACAACCATTCATTTAGCGTTTGTTCAAAGTTACAAGAGCACTGGAAAAAGTGACTTGCAACTGGCCCTTACATGAATCCCCAGAGTCATATGATCAGTACTCAAGTGCTTAGAAACTGGCATGTATTTACGACAGTTGTAGCCTCCGGGGAATTGCCATTTGGGACCTTCCCAATCAAATGGTTGTCCAGTCTCTTCTTAAAAACCTCCCGTGATGGAGTACCCACAACTCTAGGAGGCAAGCTATTCCATTGTTTAGTGACGATTGTTTAGTGACGATTCGAAGTTACAACGGCACCGGAAAAAGTGATATACAATCGTGTTTCACACTTGCGACTATTGCAGTATCAACTTGGAAAATGGCTCATATTTATGATGGTTGCAGCGTCCCTGAGGCTCACGTGATCCCGTTTTGCGACCTTCCGACAAGCAAAGTCAAATCCGGATTCACTTAACGACTGAACAACTGCAGCGATTCATTTAACGACGGTGGCAAGGACGGTCGTCCAACGGGGCAAGAACTCACGTAAACAAATGTCTCCTTTAGCAACAGAAACGTTGGGCTCAACTGTGGTCGCTGAGTCGAGGACCACCTGTGTTCCCAATCTGCAGGTAACCCAGTTGGATCGGTCTCCCAGCGAGGGGAGGCTAAACGGAACCCGAAATCGCTTAATCCCCTTTCAAGTTTGATTAAATTCGAACTGAATGACATTTCAAAAGTCAAATTTCCGCAAGAGGGCTAGTGAGGGGAGGGTGGGGAAAAGGTTAATCACTTAATAAGATGACTTCTAGCTTTTCCCAGTTGTCCTGAGTCCTTTCTCAGCTGGAAGATCCAGGATTTCCCAAAGCTTTTCTGCTCCTGCAGATGGGCTGTCAGAAGTTTAAAAAGAGTTGCTTTTAAGAGGCTGCAACTTTTACGGAGAGCCGTGGGGAGAGGGTGGGAACTGGAGACCAGAGAGCCTTCCATTTCCCCTAGGGGACTATTCCCCCCCCCATCCCACCCCTCACCCCATGACCGAAGAGGATTAAACCGATGTATTCAGCCAACCGAATGAATCCACCCTTCTAGTTTCTCAATAGCTCTGCGGCTCAGCCTCAGAATAATCACATTTAGTTTGGTGGCTGAAAACCCTCCGGTTTCTAAAGAAAGAAAAGGGAGGTGGCTGGAACAAGTTTACGCCACCCAAGGAAGCTGCGTACCTTAAGTTTAAAACAGGATTTGACAAACGGGAAGACACCTCTTCTTGATTTCAGACCCCAATGGAGTGGAATATTTTTGTGAAAAATACCTCAAGGGACACCCCTACCACCACCACCACTTCGTAAATAAATAAATAGATTAAACAGATAAATAAATAAACAAACCTCTTTATAAAAAGGCTGTAAGCACCAAGGACACCCATCAAGCTCAAATTATAATTGACAAATCGTAAGAAGCCAGCATTCAGTGTTGCAAAATCTGAGAGCCTAAGAGAGCGTTTTTTTTTCCAGCTTAGCCATTTTTAAGGTGGGGGTGGGGGGACTTCAACTCCCAGAATTCCTCAGCCAGCAAGCCAGCTGGGCTGGGGAATTCTGGGAGTTGAAATCCACTCATCTTCAAATGGCTAAAAGCTTGAGAAATGATTGAAGGAACGAGATGTGTCTGGTTTAATGAAGAGAGAGCTAGGTGTGACATAGTAACAGTCTTCCAATATTTGAGGGGCTGTCACAGAGAAGAGGGGGGGTCAACCTATTGAGGGGTCTTTGGTGCCCTCTGAGCTTGCTTGTTTTCTTGTAGAAGTATTTATACCGCTTTACAAGGCCTTGGTAAGGCCACACCTGGAATACTGCATCCAGTTTTGGTCACCACGATGTAAAAAAGATGCTGAGACTCTAGAAAGAAGACAGAGAAGAGCAACAAAGATGATCAGGGGACTGGAGGCTAAAACATACAAGGAACGGCTGCTGGAATTGGGTATGTCTAGTTTAATGATCCTGGGAAAGATTGAGGGCTGGGAAAGATGGAGGGCAAGAGAAGAAGGGGACGACAGAGAATGAGATGGCTGGATGGAGTCACTGAAGCAGTAGGTGTGAATTTAAATGGACTCCAGAAGATGGTAGAGGACAGGAAGACCTGGAGGAATGTTGTCCATGGGGTCGCGATGGGTCGGACACGACTTCGCAATTAACAACAACAACAAGTTTAATGAAGAGAAGGACGAGGGGGGACATGATAGCAGTCTTCCAATATCTCAGGGGCTGTCCTAAAGAAGAGGGAGTCAAGCTATTCTCCAAAGCACCTGAAGGCCAGACAATGGATGGACACTAATCAAGGAGAGAAGCAACCTAGAACTAAGGAGAAAGTTCCTGACAGTTACAACAATTAACCAGTAGAACAACTAGATGACCTCCAAGGTCCCTTCCAACTTTATTATTATTGTTATAGTTGTTGTTGTTTCATTACCTTAACTAGATAACATTATCTATGCTAGTAAGGAGTGCTGTTTCCTATTTAATACGTCAACTTATTCTCCAAGTGCAGGATAAGAAGTAATGGATGGAAACTTATCAGAGGTCCAACCTAGAACTAAGGAGAAATTTCCTGACAGCTAGTACAATTAACCAGTGGAACTGCTTGCCTCCAGAAGTTGTGGGTGCTCCATCACTGGAGATTTTCAAGAGGAGACTGGACAGCCATTTGTCCAGAATGGTATAGGATCTCCTGGTTGAGCAGGGGGTTGGACTAGAAGACCTCTGAGGTTCCTTCCAACCCCACTATGCTATGTTCTATCTAAAAATAACTTATCTACACACCCTGATTGTGAAGCAAAGTAGCTGACAGTTATACAGCAAAAGGCCTTCCTAGTAATGTGACACCAAAGCCGTGACATCTCTGATAAAACAGATGTGACCTGCTCAAATACACCTTAACGTGAAATTATGCTCTGCGGATTGGCATTAGTCTGCTTGTGACTGGACTTAATTGGGACAGTTCTGGGTCTTTTGGTGAAGGGAATTGCTGGAGAATATTAATAAACTCACTAAACCATAGTTATGTGTGTGTGAGTGAGCAGAACAACACACATGGTCTCTGATATGTTTTGGCCTTGATACAATACAGATCATCTCCAGACAGCAGCTAAACAGTGCAATGTTACAGCTAAACAGTAACAGAAACCATTTTTCATAAATTTAGCTTGTCATTTTTCATAAATTTTCCACATCCGGTATGATCAATTCTTGAGCTACTTTGCCACATGTTTGTCTTGCTTAAGTATTATAGGTGAAATTGTTTGCTGCTCTGTGGAATCAAAATACCTGGAGGAAACAACCCAATACTGGTAGTCCTTGACTTACAACCATTCACTTTGTGACCTTTCAAAGTTACAACCGTTCAAAGTCACTAAATGAATGGTTACAAGTCAAGGACTATCTGTGGTGGTGTGGCCAGTTCTAAAAGCTCTGCAGAAACTCAGCAAGGGACTGTCAAGACTAAATTTTTGGCAGCTACATGCCTCTTTGTTTTCATCTTGCCATTAGAGCAAATGGGGAGGAGATGATGCTTTTGACTGGGTTAGTTAGAGAAACAAAATCTCTCCAGTTCTTTGGAGGTTTGCTGAGAGAAAGCTGTCTGGAAATCTTTCAAGGACATTCTAGCAGGTGTGAAGAAGATAGCAGATGGTTCCCATAACAAAGAGAATTTGTTTACATGAGTTATGTGGACATTTGGGGGATGGGGTTGGCTGGAAAGTCATTGTTATATGGTATGGTAAGATGCCTTGGGATTTTAGAGTTAGTTTTCCTTCACCTATACCAGAGGTAGGCAACCTTGGCTCTTTTATGACTCGTGGACTTCAACTCCCAGAATTCCTGAGCCAGCATGGCTCAGCTTGGAAACCTCTCCATTTCTCCTCAGCATGGCTGGCTCAGGAATTCTGGGAGTTGTCATAAGTCATGAGGGGGCCATAGTTCTCCCATGTTGACTCAGGAATTCTGGGAGTTGAAGTCCACGAGTCATGAAGGGGCCATAGTTCCCCCATGCTCAGGAATTCTGGGAGTTGAAGTCCACGAGTCATGAAGGGGCCATAGTTCCCCCATGCTGGCTCAGGAATTCTGGGAGTTGAAGTCCACGAGTCATGAAGGGGCCATAGTTCCCCCATGCTGGCTCAGGAATTCTGGGAGTTGAAGTCCACCAGTCATAAAGGGGCCATAGTTCCCCCATGCTGGCTCAGAAATTCTGGGAGTTGAAGTCCACCAGTCATAAAAGAGCCAAGGTTGCCTACCCCTGACCTAGACCATGCCATATATTCAATAAACCAGTAAACTTTTCAGAAATGAAAGCAATCCTGGACTTTTATTTGGATATTCGAACTGGAGGTTGACAGGAGACATAACCTCTGAACTCCGGATCCACCAGAATACAGATAACTTTTATCCATGATGCAATTTGCTGTCCTTTTTTCCTCAGGAATTTAATTTTGGCATCTTCTGGAAAAAGCCAGCTGCAGGGTTGGGTCATAGAAAACAAAAGAGACACTTTAGGTTTAGTTACCTTAACAGGCCAGGCAGGAAGAGGCTGTAAGAAGGCTGCTTCATATGGATAGTCTACCATAGCCAAATATATCCATGCCTCTCTCAGCAATTCTTTGAAGTTGATGACATCTGTTGTGGTTTTCAAGGGACTGCACAAATGAAATGTGTGGGAAAGCCATTGCAAGCCTTTCTCTAAAGAGGAAAAAAAAAATCAAGAAATTACAGTTCAATATATACACATCAGAGTTTCTCAATCTTGGCCATTTGAGGATGGATGGATTTCAACATCCAGAATTCCCCAGCTTAGCAATTAATTCTTTTTTAGCTCAAAGATGCTTTTTCAAGAGGCAACTGGACTTCCTTGTTTTTCTTTGAAGACGTTTCGCTTCTCATCCAAGAAGCTTCTTCAGCTCTGACTGGAGGGTGGGGAATGGAAGGATTTATACTCCTTGCAGACAGCTGGTCATTTGCACTCTTTTAGAGCAGACATGTCAAACCCGCAATGTCACGTGACGTCACGCAACGTATCGGGACTGTTTTGCCATTGCCGGCAATGGGGTGGGAGCAGCTTCCACGTGACGGGTCCGGCCCATGGGCCGGCAGTTTGACACCCATTTTAGAGAGTCTTTGAGGCCACCTGGAGGGTCACCTTAGTGGCTCAAATGGGTGTGGGGTCTTCTTGTGGAAAGGACTGTGTGTTGTAGACTATAGATAGATGATGTTGTATCCCTCCCCCTCTGTTAAGGGAGGGCTGCTCAATTTTGACCTAGATGGCCTCTTTGACCCCTTTTTCAAACCAGCGGTCCTCTCTGTTCAAAATGTGGACTTTGCTGTCTTCAAAAGAGCAGCCTTTATCTTTTAAATGCAGATGGACTGCTGAATCTTGTCCTGATGAGTTTTTTCTCCTATGTTGTGCCATGGGTTTATGAAGTGGTTGTTTTGTTTCCCCAATGTACAGATCTGCACAAGGCTCACTGCACTGTAGTACATATACCACGTTGCTCAGTTTGTGTCTGGGTGTTTTATAATAACAACAACAACAACAACAACAATAATAATAAAGTTGGAAGGGATCTTGGAGGTCATCTAGCCCAACCCCCTGCTCAGACAGGAAACCCTATACCATTTCAGACAAATGGCTGTCCAGTCTCTTCTTAAAAACTTCCAGTGTTGGCGCATTCACCGCTTCTGCAGGCAGTTGTTCCACTAATTAATTATTCTACCTGTCAGGAAGTTTCTCCTTAGTTCTAGGTTGTTTCTCTCCTTGATTAGTTTCCATCCGTTGCTTCTTGTCCTGCCTTCAGGAGCTTTGGAGAATAGCTTGACTCCCTCTTCCTTGGGGCAACCCCTGAGATATTGGAACATTGCTATCATGTCCCCCCTCGTCCTTCTCTTCATTAAACTAGACATACCCAATTCCAGCAGCCGTTCCTTATATGCTTTAGCCTCCAGTCCCCTAATCATCTTTGTTGCTCTTCTCTGTACTCTTTCCAGAGTCTCAACATCTTTTTTACATTGCGGTCACCAAAACTGGATGCAGTATTCCAAGTGTAGCCTTGGGGTGGACAAGCTTTTGCCTTAGTATATTCTTGGGTTTGAAGTTTGAACGTATGTTGTGTTGGCTGAGAATCTCCATATAGTAAATATTCTTTGTTAGCGTCTTACCTGTGCCAGCAATACGCTTAATGGCTGCCCAGGAATTCCGAATGGTTTCTGAACAGCCAAGCCCACCTTTTCTGAAATCTTCAGTCACTATCTTATAAAAGGAACCACAGGGAACCAAGCTGTCAAACTGCCAAATGGGGGCCGACGCAGCCAAAGCTCTGCAAGCAAAGAGACAAAATACACAATAAAGGAAATCTAGAGCACCGTTCCTCAAGCTTGGGAACTGGTTGTGGAATTCTGGGAGATGAAGTCCACACATCTTTAAAATTGTCAGGGTTGAAAAAAAAATGATGTAAACCAGCATCCATGGCAACCAACATACTGGTAGTCACGCTTTGGACCGGCCAAGCAATCTGATTCCAGCTACGAGATGAGCTAATCTTTTCTCATGGGCTATTTTTCCCCCAAAAAAGTAACCCTGATTTAGAATGAAACAACTCATCACAGTTACGGGACAATTTGCCACAGGACAACTCAACAATTACAAAAGTTAAATTAATTTTGAATGTAACCGTGGCCAATAATAACAGAAAGAAAGTCAACCCAGAAATACAAGAGTTACAATAATTCTGATGAAAACCTGTTCACTAATAATAAAAGTAACTGAATGAAATGATTAATGCAGTGTTGAATTGTTCCTCAGCTAGTTGTCTTAGACCAGGGTCTTCAAACTTGGCCCATTTATGACTTGTGGACTTCAACTCCCAGAATTCCTCAACCAGCGTGCCTGGCTGAGGAATTCTGGGAGTTGAAGTCCACAAGTCATAAAAGGGCCAAGTTTGAAGACCCCTGTCTTAGATACACACGATTAGCATTGCAATTTGAGTGTCATCACTAATGTCTGAATTCTGCCACATCTAAAGGGGAAAAACTAAAAAAGATTCTGTGGTACAAATTCCTCTCTTGGTGATGGCTTAATACTCAGTGTTAAAATAAAGCAAATTGTTTCCCTCCTAGACAAATAAATGAGTTCAGCAGGTTATTTCAACTGCTTTTTTTCTCCCCTGATTTTCAATCCTATTTCAATTTTAATTTTTATATCCTTCTTGCCTTCTGTTTAAGCTGGTTTGTGTTAGAGAATGAAGTCCTTAGTTGAGGTAAATTCTTTTTATTTGTTTCTTTGAAGGTAGTCCTCGACGTAGGACCTCAATTGAGCCCAAAGTTCCTGTCGCTAAGCAAGACATTCATTAAGTGAATTTGGCCCCATTTTACAACCCGTCTTGCCACAGCTGTTAAGTGAATCGCTGCAGTTGTTAGGTTAGTAACACGGCTAAGTGAGTCTGGCTTCCCCATTGACTTTGCTTGTTCAGAAGGTTGCAAATGGGGATCACATGATCCTGGGACACTGCAACCGTCATAAATATGAGTCAGTTGCCAAGTGTCTGCATTTTGATCCCATGACCATGGGGATGCTGCAGCGGTCGTAAGTGGGAAAAACCGTCATAAGTCACTTTTTTCAGTCCCATTGTAATTTGGACTGTCACTAAATGCACAGTTGTAAGTTGAGGACTACCTGCATTTATTAAACTTATATGCCACCCATCTCGCTTTTAAACACACCAACCAGTGGTGGAATTCAGGCGGTTCACACTGGTTCGGTAGAACTGGTAGCTAAATTTTTTTGAGTTTCGAGAACCGGCTGGAGGAGGCCTCCCAGGCCTAGAGCGGCCTGCCAGAAGTGCGTGGATGCCACTTCTGGAAGTCCATTCTAGGCCTGGGAGGCCTGGAGGAGGCCTGCCAGGCCTAGAATGGTCCACCGGAAGTGCGTGGATGCCACTTCTGCAAGTCTGTTCTAGGCCTTGGACTCTGAGGCCTGCATCCATTCAGAGAACCAGTTGTTCAGGTATTTGAATCCCACCACTGATACCAACTCATATACTGGATTATGCTGGACTCCAACTAGAAAACTTGGTGGACCAGTCTCTTCCAATGTGGCCTTCTCCAAAATTTATTTTATTTGTGCCCCATCTTTACTATTTTTACAAATAACTCAAGGCGGCAAATACTAATTTATTTATTAAATTTATTTTCTGTCCATCTCGCATTGAAACAACTCTGTCCAACACACTTTCCTCAACAACAACAACCCTGTGAGGTGGGTTGGACTGACAGAAAGGGATTGGCCCAAGTTCATGGCTTTCATAATTAAGGCGGGATTAGAACTCACAGTCTCCTGGTGATTGGCACAAAGTCACCCAGCCAGCTTTCATGCCTAAGGCGGGATTAGAACTCACAGTCTCCTGGTGATTGGCACAAAGTCACCCAGCCAGCTTTCATGCCTAAGGCGGGACTAGAACTCACAGTCTCCTGATGATTGGCCCAAAGTCACTCAGTCATCTTTCATGCCTAAGGCGAGACTGGAACTCACAGTTTCCTGACGATTGGCTCAAAATCATCCAGCTGACTTTCATGGCCAAGGCAGGCCTTGAATTCATGGGTCTCCTGCTTTCTAGCTCGGTGACTGCTAAACTCTAAATCTAACGTAGTAATCAAAAATCACTCGTGGAGAAATATGAAGCTAGATACAGAAACTAGCTGGTCCTCTGTAGTTCCACAGGAGATACTGCCATGTTGCTTTAGACTCACCCAATTACTATGTGGGGATACTTCATTCGGAACCAGGCAGCGAGCATTCCTCCATAGGATCCTCCTATGGCAATCACTGGAGTATTCTGCGCTCCAGGAATTGTATTTTTCAAGTGCTGGATAAGTATTGCAAAATCAGCCAGAGCTTGCTCTGAAGTCAAGTAGTTCAGATGCTTGGCATCCTGAAACGAGACCACAAAACCTTTGTATAGGACCGTTAGAATATTTCTAGAGACTCTAGAAAGAGTGCAGAGAAGAACAACAAAGATGATTAGGGGACTGGAGGCTAAAACATATAAAGAACGCTTGCTGGAATTGGGTATGTCTAGTTTAATGAAGAGAAGGACTAGGGGTGACATGATAGCAGCCTCCCAATATCTCAGGGGCTACCATAAAGAAGAGTCAAGCTATTCCCCAAAGCGCCTGAAGGCAGGACAAGAAGGATGGAAATTAATCAAGGAGAGATACAAGATTAAAATATGTACAAATTAAATGGATCTTGGTCCAAAACTAGCAACAATCATTGAGTTCTCACAGGTAAACACTAAGTCCCACAGGTAAACACTAAGCCAGAATTTTATAACCACGCAACCAATTAACCAGGATGGCCTACATCACACCCAACGATAAACAATAAAATGTAAGAACCCACCTTGGTAAGCCAAAATGAAACCACATTAAAGCTGAGTTCTAAGTATGAGCTCAGCCTGTGACCACTTAGAACTAGGAATATATACTTACAGTGTATGACTTATTTCCAAAAGGCAAAGACTCCCCGTAATATCGGTGTTCGGCAAAAACCAGGATTGCACCTAATTCTTCAGCCACATTCCACATGAAACCCTGGAATGTAGCAAAGATTTTTATTTTTTTAAAAAAATAATAATGATAATAATAATTTAGTAAAGAATAACCTTTGATCTTTCAATCTTTATACGGTAAAAATATTTTAATGGAATATGAGATATTTTGCACCGTGTTATTTGCAAACCAGGAGATGTCCCCTTCATTGCCAGTGTAGAAGAGGATGGATCCAACGCCTTTCTTCCAGTGCTGATCTGCTAGGAGGTAACGCTGCTTGAAAGTGCGATTTTCAGCAAAACCAAAGTGATCAATCTGAAACAACATGGGGGGGGAACATTACAGAATACAAAACAACAAGGTTGGAAGAGACCTTAGAGGTCTTCTAGTCCAGCCCGCTGCTCAAGCAGGAGACCCTATACCAGGGGTAGGCAACCTTGACTCTTTTATGACTCGTGGACTTCAACTCCCAGAATTCCTGAGCCAGCATGGCTCAGCTTGGAAACTCTCCCTTTCCCCTCAGCGTGGCTGGCTCAGGAATTCTGGGAGTTGAAGTTCACGAGTCATGAAGGGGCCATAGTTCCCCCATGCTGGCTCAGGAATTCTGGGAGTTGAAGTCCACGAGTCATGAAGGGGCCATAGTTCCCCCATGCTGGCTCAGGAATTCTGGGAGTTGAAGTCCATGAGTCATGAAGGGGCCATAGTTCCCCCATGCTGGCTGAGGAATTCTGGGAGTTGAAGTTCACGAGTCATGAAGGGGCCATAGTTCCCCCATGCTGGCTCAGGAATTCTGGGAGTTGAAGTCCACGAGTCATGAAGGGGCCATAGTTCCCCCATGCTGGATCAGGAATTCTGGGAGTTGAAGTCCACGAGTCATGAAGGGGCCATAGTTCCCCCATGCTGGCTCAGGAATTCTGGGAGTTGAAGTCTAAGAGTCATGAAGGGGGCCATAGTTCCCCCATGCTGGCTCAGGAATTCTGGGAGTTGAAGTCCACGAGTCATGAAGGGGCCATAGTTCCCCCATGCTGGATCAGGAATTCTGGGAGTTGAAGTCCACGAGTCATGAAGGGGCCATAGTTCCCCCATGCTGGCTCAGGAATTCTGGGAGTTGAAGTCTAAGAGTCATGAAGGGGGCCATAGTTCCCCCATGCTGGCTGTGGAATTCTGGGAGTTGAAGTCCACGAGTCATGAAGGGGCCATAGTTCCCTCATGCTGGCTGTGGAATTCTGGGAGTTGAAGTCCACGAGTCATGAAGGGGCCAATGTTGCCTACACCTACCCTATACCATTCCAGACAATTGGCTGTTCAGTCTCTTCTTGAAAACCTCCAGTGATGGAGCATCCACAACATCTGGAGGAAAGCCGTTCTGCTAATTAATTGTTCTCAATAACAAGAAACCTATACACTAAATGATGATGAGAGCCTTGTTCACAAAAGTGTTTTAAGCAAGAAAAAAACAAGATTGGGCCATCTGAGAGGCTTGATTAATCCAGAAGGATTTCTGAAAAAAAAAAAAAACTAGACATCAAGACAGAGGTCCCCCTAACCTAGCTGATTGGCAGAAGTGTTGAAGGGCATTGAGGAAGGCTGAGTTCACAGAAAGCTGGCAGCTAGATTAATAGAATATCAAGAGTTGGAAGGGACCTTGGAGGTCTTCTAGTCCAGCCTGCTGTTCATGCCGGAGACCCTATACCAGGGGTAGGAAACCTTGTCTCTTTTATGACTCATGGACTTCAACTCTCAGAATTCCTCAGCCAGCATGGCTCAGTTTGAAAACCTCTCTCTGTCCCCTCAGCATGGCTGGCTCAGGAATTCTGGGAGTTGAAGTCCACGAGCCATAAAAGAGACAAGGTTGCCTATCCCTGCCTTATACCATTCCAGACAACTGGCTGTCCAATCTCTTTTTGAAAACCTCCAATGATGGAGCATCCATAACTTCAAGAGGCAAGCCATTCCACTGATTAATTGTTCCCAATGACAATACATTTCTCCCTAATTCTAGATCAGATCTCTCTTTGATAAGCTTTCATCCATTACTTCTTGTCCTGCCCCCAAGTGCTTTGGGAATAGACTGACCCACACTTTTCTGTGACAGAGCCTCAAACACTGGAAGACTGCCATCATATTACCCCTACTCCTTCTCTTCATTAGAGTAGACGTATCTAGTTCCTGCAACCGTTCTTCCTATGTTTTAACCCCCGCTCCCCCAATCATCTTTATTGTTCTTCTCTGCACTCTTACTAGAGTTGTGACACCTTTTTGTATCACGGTGACCAAAACTGGATGCAATATTCCAAGTGTGGCTTTACCAAGGCCTTATAAGCTAGCATTAACACTTCGCGTGACCTTGATTCTATCCCTCTGTTGATGCAGCCTAGAACTGCATTCTTCCTTCTTTGACTGCAGCCCAAAAGGAAAGAAAAAAAAAACCTATGAACCAAAGACAGCAATAGTGCTCTCTCTGCATAAATATTATTTAAAAGCATCTAGAAATTAGTGCAATGTAGAAGCTTCCAATGAACCTAGCTGTAAAGTTGGTGGCATATAAAAGCTTTCCAGAGATAAACAAAACACACTGGACACAGATGACTGGACTAGAAGGGAAAAAAAAGAAAAAGAGACAGCAGATGGAGCTGTTAGGTAACTTAAATCTCTTTTAGTCGATATTCTTATCTTATCCGAGCCAGACTTTAAAGCATGTAAAACTGCTGTGGTCTGGTGTTTTCGTAAAATGGTGGATGATCCTGTTCGTTTTAGCCCAATCCAAGCACTTCAAACTCAGTTTATTAAACTACTAACAACTCTGAGACTTTGTTCAGAATGCAGCTGTGAGAATAGCTGATGATGATCATACATATTCTAATGCAGGGGTAGGCAACCTTGGCTCTTTTATGACTCGTGGACTTCATCTCCCAGTATTCATCAGCCAGCCATGCTGAGGGGAAAGGGAGAGGTTTCCAAGCTGAGTCATGCTGGCTCAGGAATTCTGGGAGCTGAAGTCCATGAGTCATAAAAGAGCCTACCCCTGGTCTAAAGTATGTTAAGTTTAGTTCTAGGCCAGGGGTAGGCAACCTTGGCTCTTTTATGACTCATGGACTTCAACTCCCAGAATTCCCGAGCCAGCATGGGGGAACTATGGCCCCTTCATGAGTTGTGGACTTCAACTCCCAGAATTCCTGAGCCAGCCATGCTGAGGGGAAAGGGAGAGGTTCCAAGTTGAATCATGCTGGCTCAGGAATTCTGGGAGTTGAAGTCCACGAGTCATAAAAGAGCCAAGGTTGCCTATCCCTGTTCTAATGTACCTTCCAGACCTTAAAGGGACCCCCAAACCAATATTGATGGGCTCCATATTTTCAGGACCTTTTGAAAGAGTGTCAAATTCAGGGGTGGGGGGCAATCTTATTTCCACGGAGATGATGTTACACCACGGAGGGACCCACCACAGGAAAGAGCCTTCTTCATCCAGTCAGTAAGAGAAGGGATCCTATCAGTCCCTACCTCCCCATTCTGGTGGGTCTGACAGATGTGATGGTGGAAAGATGGTCCTTCAAATCACCTCGTCCCAAAGCCATGTTAAGGGTTTTAAAGGTGTCCCAAAGTTGCTTTTTCAGGAGGCAACTGAACTTCTTTGTTTTTCTTTGAAGACATTTCGCTTCTCATCCAAGAAGCTTCTTCAGCTCTGACTGGATGGTGGGGAAGGGAAGGATTTATACTCCTTGCAGAGAGCTGCTCATTTGCCTTCTTTTAGAGAGTCATTGAGGCCACTTGGAGGTTTATCTGTGTCCTCAGGGTCACCTGAGTGGTGTAAATGGGGGTGGAGCCTTCTAGGCTGCAGGATTTTTTCTGCCCTGGGTCCCTTCCCTGTTGAAGACAGGTGCAAGCTGTTGAGAATGAGTCTGTGCTCTCTGCATCTCAAACTGAAGTGCAAATGGTTCCTATAGTGTGTGAGGTTTTCTGGAAATCTGTTCATACTCCCTGTACCATTCAAAGGGCGTTCATCCCAAATTGTATAACTAAATGTCTATGGAGATTTTCAATCATCCAGGTCATGGTTGTCCCAAAGGTTCTTTTATTATTATTTTGTAATAATAATAATAATAATAATAATAATAATAATAATAATAATAATAATAATAATGGTAGTACCAATAGTAATAGGCTCCTTGGTTGCAATCCCAAAACAACTGGAGCACCACTTGAACACCCCTGGCATTGACAAATTCGCTATTAGTCAATTGCAAAAGGCGGCCTTACTAGGAACTGCTTCCATCCTGCAACGATACCTGTAATACCATCAAACATCCACATCTGCCTATCCCAGGTCCTGGGTAAGGACTCGATAGGTAGACAAAATGCCAAATCCAGTCTGAACATCTGGCTGACTGTGCGATGATCCATAATAAAGTTGGAAGGGACCTTGGAGGTCATCTAGTCCAACCCCCTGCTCAGGCAGGAAACCCTATACCATTTCAGACAAATATACCATTTCAGACTTTTCTTTGAAGACGTTTCGCTTCCCATCCCAGAAGCTTCTTCAGCTCTGACTGGATGGTGGGAAGGATTTATACTCCTTGCAGACAGCTGGTCATTTGCGTTCTTTTAGAGCAGGGGTCTTCAAATGTGGCCCTTTTATGACTTGTGGACTTCCCCACCATCTGGTCAGAGCTGAAGAAGCTTCTTGGATGAGAAGTGAAACGTCTTCAAAGCAAAACAAGAAAGTCCAGTTGCCTCCTGAAAAAAGCACCTCTGGGACAATCGAGGATCTCCATAGACATTCAGCTTTGAAGGTAACACCCAGAACCTCGAATTGGACCCAGAAGTAAATCAGAAACCAATGCAGCCTGAGAAAGGTCGCATGTGTGCAAACGCACACTTGCACAAAGCCAAGCAGTTTGCTGTATTCTGAACCAACTGAAGCTTCTGGATAGTTTTCAAGGGCAACCCTGTGTAAAGCCCGTTGCAGTAGTCCAGTAGTGATTGTTTTGTTATATCGGTGGCATTTACACACGCTATTTTAAGGAAAGAGAAAACAAAGAAAAGGAGAAAGGAAATAACTCCAAAAAGACTTTCCCCCTTACACAAGCAGGAAGCCCACTTCTTAATATAGCCACTCGTGGCCTCTTTGATTTTTTTTTTCCTCCAGGTGCTCATGAAAGAGCAACTGGTTTTAGCAGCCCACTAACAACTCTAACAAAAATAGCCATTTCAAAAATAAAAAAGCAGAAGGGGAAAAGAGAGTGAAAACTGAAATGCACATCTCTGTGGGCTAGATAAAACCAAGCTAGGAAGGCAGTAGCACCAGATGGCTAAAACTG